CTGTGGATTAAGCCCAGTTTGAGTGTCTCTTTCTCAAAGAAGAATTTGTTTCTAGAATCCAAACCCCATGATACTTGCCTTGTGTTTCTGAATCATTCCCTTGATCTATATGAGATTAATGACATTGCTCCTTCTTCTATAGGAGTACTTTTCAGGAATATTTTCTTTTTCCTATGGGTCTAGATCACTGACATGACAGGAAGGAATAAAAAGTTGTTATTGTCCTTCTAGGTGCCTCCTCCAATTCAGCTTTCAAAGCCTGGAATGCCCCCCTCATGCACCATGGGGAGGATTGCTTTTATGCTGCTTTCAGAGTTGTCTTCCTTCCCCAGGGGATCCCTGCGAGCATTATTCAGATATGCTAGTTTTTTTTCAGACTTTAATTTCATTAGGAGATCAAGCCTTTCATAAATGTCAAGAGATTGTTTGTTTTCCTGTGTGTTTTTTGTTGCTCTTGATTTTTTTTTAATTTATATATATATTTTCCCAAGACAGGATGTTTACATTCCCAGCTTTCACATAGTTTTCCAGGTTATCAAGATTTCTGTCAGGCAGGATATTACCTTTTTCTGCTCCTTGCTCTCCACACAATTATCTGTAGTGCTTTGTGTTTTCCCACATGGGGCCTGCTTCTGATCTCCTTCACACAGTTTTTAATCTGCTTGCTCTAATGGAGTTACTTCTGATTTAGTTCACTTTGGTAAGGATTCACGCCTCAAGCCTCTGCAGATCTATAGTGGGCTTTGACTCCCTAATTGTGCTGCATAATGTTTCTATCTTTCTTAAGGGCATTCCTGGCCCCAAATCCCCACTCTCAGTGGAAGTCCCAGAATCAGTCAGCCCTCACATCATGGCCTGGAACAGGGAGAAGAGCAAGAGCACTTGCTTCACAGGAACAACATTACTTCGACACCTGAAAAGGAAATCAGCTCCCCTATGCTGGCATCAAAGGCAACAAGACACAGGGCAGAGTACCTTCCCATCAGATTTAAAGCCACCTGAGGGGAGATGAACAGCTACACATGACCAGCTTTGGGTGCTAGACCTACCACTACTTTTGGCCATAGAGGATACAGCACAGGCTGTTCTCATCTGCTCCATTGTCCTGTTGATGGTGGGTTTTCCCTGCTGAAATAATAAGAAGCCATCACACAAGTTTGGAGCTAAATCCTTTCCTACCGTTGCTTTCATCAAGTTACGAGATTTTAATCTGTCCTTTCCACTTTGCTCATCCCATCTTGATCTTTCACTGAAATAAAATCTCACCTGTGCAGTAGGTATGCATTGGTTTACTAGGGAAAAATCAAAGCTGGTAAAGAGATTGAAGAGGCGGTACCAGAGATGGATGAGATACATGGAACAGTTTCTTCTGTATGCATCAATCTTACATCTAATTACAGTGAATCAGCACTACAGTGAGCTTAATCCATTTCATGAACACGTGGACTGAGAGTTCATTTTTTGAGCCAAGAGCATTTTATTCCCAAAAGCTAACACCCTGCAAAAGAAAATAAAGCAGATGGAAGATACTGTGCAGGGAGTTAAATATATGTCTGCTGTATTAAAGTTCTTGGAGAAGTTTTCTGTGTTTGCGTTTTGTAGGCCTTAAATTAGAATAAACGTTGTAGTTAAATAAATTAAAAATTAAACAGGAACACACTATTATTAAAATCTGTATGCTTAATATCTCAGACAACCACTAAGGCTTCTTCTCTCTGTTGATTTACATGATATATAGTTAGTTTTACAATCTAGGAACAGTCTCTAAAACAATATACAGATTTTACTAGTAGCATAAAATGTTCCTGATATTAGTATAATAAAATATTTTACTTGCAAATAAGCTTATAAATGTTTTTCTAAAGCAAGCAATATAACGTGGCTGTAAGTTGTAGTGCAACTTCAGCTGGAATTTCTCCACATAACCATTTCTTGTTCAATCCACCACCCAAACAATGATAATATCTTATAGATGTATTTGGCAAAATAACAGCAAATGTTTTCAAAGGACACATAACAGGATAATCTGTTTGAATATCCATTCAAATAACATATCAGAAGAAATATAGAAAAGTTATCTTTAAAAACACCTCAGCTAAGAAACGTTGCTGAAACTTCTTAATAAGAATTTAATAATGAAGAAGTCTAGAAGGCATTTGAGATAGAGTCCGGGAACAGAAATGTCCAGAACCCTCGTCAGTAGTGTAATAGTCTTTGTAGACAACTTCTGCTGTCTAGAAGACAAGGGTGGAACACTATGCATGTTTTGATTCATAGGTCCTCCACAATGGACCCCAGAGTCACCCAGGTGACCCTGGTGAACACCTTCACACAGAATAGCCAGGAGAAAGTCCAGCTTAACTGTCCCACTGTACCAAGCAAAGTAAGAACATTTTAGTGTAGCGCATGCTTGGAATCACTATCATCCATTATTGACTTTGTAGCTAACTAATGGCTTTGCACATTATTAGCATTACTAGTATGAGTATAGCTAATGGATATTAATATGATATGAAAAAGTGCTCATTAAAACACCGTAAAATGCGTTTGGTTAATAATTAGCACTTTTGAAAGCATAACTTCTTAACTAATGCATTTATTTCACATATTTATAATTGCAAAATTATATGTACTCATTTTTATAAATTAGACTTTCAAAAGAAATGTGCTCAGTATGATTCCAATATACTTTTTCATCCTTCTTTTCTTTCCGTTTTGCACATTTACAGAAAGTGCAAAGGAGGAAAATTTCAGCAGCAATACAGCAATGGAAAGCCAGCAGACGGAGTTCCTGCAAAAACCTTTCCTGAGACAGGAAGGGGAGGATGAAACAGGGCAAAATGCCACATGAGAATGTAAAATTCCCAAGTGGATTCCAAGGTCAAGGTGCCTGATCTTGTCTGTCCCGAGTGCTCTCACTTGGAGCAACATTTGTTTCATGGGTATATTCAGGGTCTGCTGGATGAGTATTAAACAGCTATAATGAGCTTCATTGTAAGTATAGAGAGTTTCAACACAAAAGCTTTCACTTCAAAGAAAAAGTGACTCCCAGTTGCAAAATACAGTCACGGTCAAGACACAGTCTCCTGATATAGACTGTCTGCTAGAAAGTGTATCAGTTTATCATATCCTGGGAAAAAAAAAAAAAAAAAAAAAAAAAAAAAAATTAACAGACACAACCAGGAAAAATAGAGCTGAAGGAGTGCTGGAGAACTAGGAGTTGACATTGCTTTAGCAAGGCCTTCACTGGGAAAAAAGGAAGAAAATGACAACAAAAAGTTCATACACCTTTACATTTAGCTTTGATTTTGACCAAACTATAAATATATTTGCATTTTTTGTTTTGTGAGTGGGACATGTAAAACTGCTGTTGCCTGCAGGAATAGTCCTGCAGGCCACAAGAAGCAGAGGTCCTGCAACACCATTTCAGTTCTCTAAGCTACATGAGCTTTTAGTGAGGGGCAGTCTGTCCAGACAGCGTAAGGCCTTGCAGTCATAACCCTTTGAATTCAACTTCTTCATAAGCATGGGATTCAGCAGGACTGCTTGACTTTTCTAATCCTCCATCTCTGAAACACTGTGGTCTTAGAAACCACCTCCACCCTCTGCAGAGAGGGGCTGCTGCGGCACCGGCTGGGGAAGAGCACGCTCCCAGGCTGCTTCACGGCAGGCTGAGGCAGCTTATATTTGTATATCATTAGCACAGAGACCCTTAAGCAGGAGGCTTTCCCTTGTTTTTCACAGCATCCTTTAAGCAACTTTGCAGGTTCCTATGGAAAAAAATCTCCTCAGTGCCTTACTGAGTTCATTTGAAATTCCAAAACTAATGAGGCTTTTGTCTCCCTCTTAACCCAGGAACTATTGTTACCTCTAAAAATAAAAGAGATAATCTGCTAAAGAGCTAAAAATACTGAACTCTGACAGCCTTTTCACACTGATGATTGACACACTTGCACCTTTAATCTTCACAAAGAAAATGCTGAGGCAGGAGCTCCTATGCTCACCTCCCAGCAGCTCTTTCACCAGCTGCCTGCTGGTTGTTCTCCCACTGATTCGAGGGGACCAGCACCGTCTGGTTGGGTCATTAATGCTCAGAATGGGATATTCATCCGGAAGCTATAATGATCACCCAAGGGTGCTTGTGCAACACTGTTTTCAAGAAAAAAGCTCTGTATTTCTTTCAGGAAGAAAATTAGGGAGTGCTTTTGGATAGGAGTGCCAAAAAGCCCAGCTATGTGCCCTCTGCCCCAGTCCCCAGGGCGCCAGAACAAACAAAAGCTCTCATACACCATGGTTGGATCTGGGGTGCAAGCTGCATGAATGGGTGAGTGCTTTGAACTGAACAGGAATATAAATTAAACGGACTTAGTTAAGAGGTCCAAAAGGTTTTCCAATTTATCATAAAGAATCCTTGCAATCTCTGTGCAGTGAGCCAAAATACCTGTTTTTCCAAAGCTTGCAGGTCAAAGCACACAGTCAAACATTTGCCTCACTTTATTGTTAGAAAAGTTGTGTTGGGCATACATGGCAAGGTTTGGACAGTGGGGAGTGTTGCTGGGGTGGCTTCTGTGAAAAGGGACCAGGCACTGCCCCATGCTGGACACAGCCATCTCCAGTGGACCTGCTAGAGAACACAGCTGAGCCCACCATCAGTGCTGGTGGCATGTCTGTGAAAACGCATCTAAGAAATAGTAAAAACACCAGAGAAAGATGAGGAGGAGGGAATAAAAAGGAGTGAGAAATGGTGTAAGGAATGCCAAGGTCAGAGGAGGAGGTGGTGCTCCATGATGGAACAGATGTTCCTGAAGTAACTGGAGCATGTGAGAAGAGCCCACATTGGAGCAGGGGAAAAGTACAAGAGGAACAGATCATGAGAGAAAAAAAATCTAAGTTTCTATTCTCTGACTGTAGCTGCTCCCCCCACCCCCCATGCCACTCAGAGTAGGGTTAGTGGAACATTCTGGAGTGAAGGAGTGAAGCTGGGCCTGGCAGAAGTGGAGGAAAGATGTTGTTATAATTATCTTTGTGTTTCACTACCAGCATCTATTGGCAATAAATTATTTTTTTCCCAAGACAAATCTGTTTCACTTGCAACAGTAACTTGTAAGCAATCTCCTTGTCTTTATCTCAACCTACGAGCTTTGCTATCCTATTTGCTCACCTGCACTGCTGAGGAGGGCTTGTGAATGAGCAGCTGAGTGGGAGTTCAGCTGTTTGCTGAGACAAACCCACCACAAAAGTGAAACCCCACCACAAAAGTGAAACAATCCCAATGTGTCAAGCATGCAAAGAACAAGGACTTTCTCAACCTGGAGAGCCTCTCAACCCAAGGAAATACTGCAAAAGGTAAGGGCTATTTCACAGAGTTCTACAGTCAAAAAAAAAAAAAAAAAAAGTGATGATGCCCCTGGGGAAATACCACTTCCAGCCTTCACTGATTACTTGTAGGAAGAGGAGGCATCTGCATGTCCGCTGAAACTGCTGTCTTTTCTGCTGCTCTTTTAGAAATCACTGGTGATGGAAGGAGAATTAAAGATTCTCTGACAACAATACCTTATAGAAGCTCTTTTTTGGTTACTTGAGCATGGATTTGCTCAAGTATAAGTTGTGTTCTTTCTATAGAAGCAGTAAATCTGCTTCCTAATTTCATTTCAAGTATAGCACATATAGCATGCTTTCCTAGCTCTAATTATAATGGGATATTTTGTTCACTTTTCATAAGTGAAGAGGAATCCTGAACCCTCTTTCCAAGGCCAGCTTTCTTTTTTTTTTCTTTTTTTCTTTTTTTTTTTTATTAATGCCACATGATATGTTCTCCAAGGCTTGTGGTAGACAGAGGGATATCCTTCACCTTCTCCAACCTCTTTGACAATAAAAAGGCTGAAACAGGGTGGACAGTGAATCAAGGCAGATTTCCACCCATAAACACTCATTCTGAAGAATGACAAGAAGCGAAGAGAGAGTGTTTCTCTCGTCCAAGAGATCACAGAATCACAGAATCACAGAATCTCTAGGTTGGAAGAGACCTCAAGATCATCGAGTCCAACCTCTGACCTAACACTAACAGTCCCCACTAAACCATATCCCTAAGTTCTACATCTAAACGTCTTGTTCCTGCTGTAATGCCATTTCTAACATAAAGAATTCCCCAAGCCTTTACAAGCTACTATGAATTAATCTCTAACTCATTTGTACTCTAGAATGTTTCTGTCCATTTAGGCTATCAAGGGATTTGCTATGGTTCTAATGTGTCGTTATAAAGTACTTTAAAATATTTCTATCCTGCCTTAAATTTTAACTCTGCAAAGAACTTTAACTGTATGGTGTAAATTTATGAGAACCATATGAAAGATGTCAAGCTAGAGATAAAATTCACAGACAATCCAGCAAAAAAATAATAATAAAAAAATAATAAATCATTAGAGTACAACTCACTGTTCAGTGTTCCTGTCTTTTTTTCTCAGTATACCTCCAGGACAAATCACAGGTTGCCTCACTTCCGTCAATCTTATGCATCTGTGCACATTCTGAAGATGGTGGTCACTTCCACAAAATTCTGTGCAGGATTCATTTAAAGCCTTTCTGCTCCTCAGAATGACCTTGTGAAGTTTTGCAAGATGCAGTGGATTGGAGTTAGTGTTTGAACATCAGACCACCTTTGGAAAAGCAAGGTTGTTTCCACTGATGTAGTTCCAGCTGATGAAGCTCCATCTTTTCAACTCACGTTGAGTCATTGGCAACTCTTCTCTTAGGCTGAGCACCAGCTCTGTGACCTTTTGAAATAGAAATTAAAGTCAAGTTTTAGTTGCCCACAGTTGACAAGAGACTGTGTGGCACTAATGCATGAATTGTATCATACCAGTCATGGCCTCCCATTTAAATCATTCTGTGTGGCTGTACTCTTGCCATTCACACTTATTAACATCTCAAATGAACAAAATAAACCTGTAGATGTTCCAGTGGATAGTCAAAAGAATTTTCAGGCCACTCCCAGCATGACTATGTGACATACGTAAGGTAGAATATTTGTGAATGCTTCAGAGGTGCAGGACAGTGGTCAATAAATCATTATTTCTAAATTTTAATTTCAACGTTATTCCTATTTTTATTACACTAGCAGAATTGTAATAAAGATTAAATCAGTTGTTAAAGTTTGACTTTATTAGCATTGTATCCTGGGCTTTGTAATTAAAACAAAAATTAATTCTGGCTTGATTCTTACACCATTTTTAATAAACCTTTGATGATTTTGGAAAACTACTTCCATTCCATAAAATGGGAGTGCATTTCCCCAAATGTGTTATATCTCTTCTAAATAAAATGTGTGTTCTCATTCTTATGGATGAATTGTGCAAAATCCTTTGTTTCCTGAGTTGTTTCTGTAGAATTCTCTCCATTATGGGAGATTAGAGACAGGCAGAAGATCTAGAGTACCTCTACAACATGGTTATCTAAGCAAGATTTTTCTCAATGACCTGTTAAAGAGCTTGCAGTCTTACAGGCAAAATTCTGTTCTCTAGTTGTGTGGTTACTAACATTTCCATAGGCCAGTCCTTTAATCTCCGGGCCGTTGGACATGGATTGATGTGTGTCCTGTAGTGTCACTCTTTACAGCTCTCCTGAGGCTTCTAGGACTTTCTCTGTTGGCCTTCAGTTCCTCTTTAGAGCAATTTGCAGGCTGACATCAGAGGAATGCTCTTCTTTCTCCCTCTCTCTCCAACTAATGATTTTTAAAGCCATCCATTTCACTTTGCATTTGACATGAAGGCAAGGAAGTACATTTTAAAAATCACCTATTGGGTAAGTAATAAAAGCTTTGAGCCATTAAATTCATACACGTTTTTCCTTAGCCTTTGCCAAGTTATGTGCAATAAAACAATTTGACTGTCCTTGACCACACTTGATTGTTGACTATCAGAGTAGCATAAGATATCCCTCAGACAGTCTGATTACATTATACAGCAAGATCATATTAAATGTGTCCTACATTTTTGGCTGGGACAGCAGCTAACCATGAAGATAGCGGAACCTTTGATTGTGAGGTATTTCCTTTCTCTGTCCTATATAAGAGGGAGATCTTGTGCAAATTCTTCATAAGATCTCCTGACAGTTCACATTTATTGTTTTCCTTAGCCTGTATTTGTGTGCTGCATAAGCTGGCAAGCCTGCCCCACTGTGACCCACACTCCCAACAAAATTCACTTTAAACATCATGCTGCTGGCTGTATGAAATAGAGTGATTTTAATAGGCTTGCTCAGTGACAGAAATCCATTTCAGATCTTCTCTGGCCCAGCCCTTTTTCGTTTAATCAGTCAATAGAGTGCAAAGGGCTTATATGATGCATCCTCGGAAAAGAAATGCATGGTTATACCCTGTTAGATTTTTATTTTTTTAAGATGCTTTTATAAAACTAAGCCAATCCAGATATAATGAAAAGATCTTTCATTTGACATTCATCATTCACATTCATTTGTCATTAACTCACTGATATTGAGAGCAATCACGAGCTCAAAAATTAGAGTAAAACTCACCTTACAAATATCTTCAGCAGAACTGTAACCCTGCTGTAATATCTACATTTCTGTTTAACATAACGTGACCCAAGCTATAGAACACACACACACACACACTCTTTCAATTTTTAAAGACAGAAAAAACAAAATCATTCTCTCCTGCTGATGAAATACCCAGCTATTCCTTGTTTTTGAGCTATGACCTTCAGGGAATCTTCATTCATAACCAGCAAAAGACACATAGTGGTATTTTCTGTGCTGACATTTGTAAAGGCTGAGCCAAGTTCACCCTGGAGTTTTCTGAAGGTGTCCTCTGACAAAGGCCAACACAGTGGGAATTATGATGAAGAGGAGTTTATGAGAGCAAAAAGTAGCTCACCCCCATGTCACACACACCTCTCTCAAGTCCCCACAAAAGGGACAGGGAAGTCTGAAAAGTGGGCAATATCTGCTGAAAATAGAGTGCCAAGACAGGAACAACACATACAGTTGAGACATTAGCCTGGCACATTCCTCCTCTAGCTTCTTCCCATGAAGCGTGGAGAGACTGCGGTCTCTGGCAGTCTTTCTATTGATCTCAGTGTGGTCCACAGGGCCTCCTATCTTCATTGAAAATTCCCCATTAATAAGTCTTGCAAGCCCAGTGTTATTTTCATTCTACCAAGGAATAAATGAAAGTTGAAGTTGAAGGATTTGTTGAAGGTCATGGAGGCTTTCCTTACCAGAACTGAATTTGGGGAGTTTGTGACTCTTCATCCTCAGATAGAAGGTGAAACTGTTTCTTCATCAACATTTCTAAAATTGCTGCAACATTAAAAACAAAAAGATATCAGGATGCATCTGTATTTTTATAGTACTTATAGTACTTATGGTAACATCACCCACTTTAGCAATGGGTGTATTGCTAAACGCATTATATTAAAAAAAAATAATAAAATAAAATCCTTCTATGCAAAGTCTCTAAAGTCTCTTCCTTGCTTTCTTGCCTGTTGTTCAACCACCATCATGAGAATTAGTACAAATTAAAATAAATATGTTCAACAAATCCAGCAATAACAGTTGCCTGGGTATACATATTATTTCCCTGGATGTGGTCATTCGCTCATACCATAAAGTCTAATTCTGAGAATCAGTTGCAAATATAGGGAGGATTTTCTGCCCACTGACATCTGACCTTGAAGTTTTGAATTGCCGAGTAGGAGCTGAAACCTGACTGTTCATACATTACCAATGCCCAAATTATATAGAGAAGAATGGAGTTTGCAATAAGAGTGGGGTTGAGACAGGCAAATGTTAAGTGTCAAGCACTACATTGAAAGGGCATGCATCTCATAAAATAACAGTCTGTTGATGAAGCAGCAGACAACATTTTGTGTATCTGCTCTATTTTTAACATGCACATTTTAAATGAGACTGTACCAGTTTGAACACTTTTTTTTTTTTTTCCTATCAAAGACTCATTATTACCATAATTTGTTCCACAGTAAAATCAAATATTCACTAATGTTTTTCATGTCAGAATGACAGGGGGGAATACTATTTTAGCACCACAGCAAATTCCATTAAATACAAGAAGAGTTTAAAGTCTTGTTGTGCATCTCAAGCTCCCATTTTTAATTAGATCTCTTGTATCCTTATTTTCCACCGGGTGTGGGAATCCTTCCGAGCCAAACCCGTCTGGCAAAAGCACAAAACTTGCTCACAGACCATGGCTTTATTAGATTAATATGGAAGTGTTACATATCATTGTGGACATAATGCAGCATCTGGAATGCTTTTTTCTCTCTTGCTCACTGTTCTTGCTCCCATTAGCATTAGTAAACAGTATTTTCTCTTTTACCTCTTCATCTAAAGAGTTGTGTATGTCCACAAACCAACTTCTCACCCTCCCCACAAAAGAGGCTGCTTTCAAACTGCAAACCCAGCACCACAGAAGTCTGCAGAAATTATTTTTAATTTTATTTTTGTTCCACTAATGACAGGGGATGAATTTATTAAAGCAGCAACATACAAGAACACCTTGATAGGATGATAGGATATCTCTTCTGATTGCAAAATAAAAAGAGGGTATTATTTTTGCCTTGTGGAAGAAGAGCAATAAGGCCAGGTATAGTAGCTATTGGAAGACTGCAGTGTTGCAGAAGCAGTGAAAGTCCTTGCTTTTAAGTAATGGCTTGAATCAGCAAAGTCTTTTGTTGCAAAGGCCAAGGTACTTAGCATGGCTTTACATTTGGCTATTCTACTATCGAGCACATCTTATTTTGAAATTGTGTTTTAAAGAGATATTTGAGTTTAATTAACTCTGTTGAGTAATTTCAAAACCAAACAACAAAACCAAACCAAAACAACAACAACAACAAATATCACCCACTTTCATTAAGCCTTTAATTCAAGCCATCGTATAAAATCTGATAATTCAGCTTGGCCTTGTAGAGAATATGATGCTATTGATGGAGTGACTAGGTCTTGCACAACACGGTGCTAACACTTCACTCACCTCAGGATGCAAGCTAAGACAACAGCACCATGCTATACTGGAGAGTACCTGGCAGTACCTCTGGAATCACTGCACCATCCTCACAGCATGCAGCAAGCATGTTCCTGGATGTGGAGGCTATGGACAAGCACAAGCCAAGCAAGCAGCTGTCTAGATTAGCAGGTGGTCAGAAACAGTCCTGCTTTGCCTTCACCAGAGCCCTGAAAATCCATGGTGTTGGTTCAAACAGAAAGGAAGGACAGAATACGTGTGACGACAATGATTACTGTGTTGGCTGGGCAAGAAGAATCAACATTTTTCTTCTGCTTCCTTCAGCCACTGCAGCAGCAGCACCAAACTTGCTTCAGGAAGGCTCCCTGGGTCGCTGTCCTTCCCCATTTCTCACCTTCAATCTCTCTCCTTACAACAGAAGCAGATGGCCCAGGCCACACTCCTTATTCAGCTCCTCTCTAGGAAACCTCAAACAGCACACCACAACTATCTAGCTCAGGTCACCACCTTTCAAGCAGTAACACTTCTGTTGGGGTCAATAGTCCCTGCTTGATGAAAGCATCACATTAATTTCTCCTTTAGAGTGATCTCCCCAGGCCTGATCTGGCTGACAAAGCCACTGTCTTTCTGCATATTTTGCATAGCGGTTGGCTACTTGTTCTTATAGTTAAATAACAAAACTGCATCCAGTTTATTATTTGATTTTTTTTTCTGGCTTAAATCTTCTTGTCTTAGCTGTTGAAAATGAACCCATTCCCAAAAGTTGCTTAACTACAGCTTTCACAGTCTAAGAGGCAGTGATTTTTTGTAGATGTCTTGGCTACACGTTTATCCCTTAATTTCAGCATACCAGAGACACTTCTTTTCCTCCGATTCACCTCATGTTCCTGCACGCAGGTTTTTAAGGCTCTGACCTAAGGAGGTTTTTTCCTGAAACTGTATCAGACACTTTAGAGTCTAGATGAACACAATCTAGACTTGTGTGTAACATGTGTGGACAGTCTTTCCAAACAAACTAGTCTTGAGTCAGCTAAAGGTTTGGGCTCACCATAAAAAGCCTTATGTGCCAAGGAAAGCAGCTCCCAGAGCAGTGTCCTGGATGGATCTCAGGATGTACAGAACTGAGACATGAGACTGCTTTAGCCGATTAGAGTTCACTGCCCTTCACAGAAAGGACACTGTCCTGTTCCTACTAGTGGACAGAGATATTCCTGCTTCTAGTGGGTAGACCCACTTCGTATAGTAGTAAAAGTAGCAGAATCACAAGTCAAAGACTCATGAAGAGCCAGTATTCAGACCTCCTCTCTTGTGACCAGAGATGTGTAAAGGAGACTCATGCAGTCCTGCAGCCACTTAAGCCTCTCTGTGCTGTATATAGTTAAAAGCATATTTTATTTTTTTCTCAATATTATTTCATAGACTGGCTAAATGCTGTTTTGTGTAATGATAGGAGCCAGGGGTCTAGCTAAGTGTGTACAGCTATTTCACTTACATTAAAAACCTAATGCCCTCAGTCTGCTGTATGTGAACATTAAAAAAAAAAAAAAAAAAAAAAAAAAGGCCTTCAGCTCAACTGCTCCAAATTACAATTTATTTTGCATTATCAAGAAACATGCTGAGGATCACCTGGAAAGAATAATAATTACCTCATGGTAAGCAGTGCTCTTGGAGCTCTCTACCATGTGCTTATTTTGTCTTATTCAGTATGTATCATTTTGATTTAAAATCATTTCTAATAATTCAGTCATTGCCCTTGGCTTTCATTCTACTTAAGATATCACATAATGCTGCACATGGACTGCTTTCTTTCATTATCCCAGGCCACCCTGAGTTAGACAGCACGCATTAACACTGCACCTCCTATAGGGTAACACATCTAAGCCACAGACTGGAACACAGGGCTCAGTGTGCCAGTAAGGGAGCCACATTTGCATTTATATGCTGGTGCACAGTGACGCTGGGGGAAGAGGTAAGCTGAAGCAGTCACTTGACTCAACCTCTCTAAATAAATGAAGGGGGGAAAAGACTTGATAAATGCATGATAATCAACACAACTGTACACTGAAAGAATTATGGCAGAGAGGGTAAAGAGGAAACAGACATGTCTATTTGTAAAATGCCATCCTAACAAGGAGAGAGCAAGAATTATAAGATCACTCACCTAAATACCTCCCAGGATGTCTTCTCTGATTAAGGATTTGTGAGAGTTATTGAGTTTTGAATTAGATGCACTTTAATAAAACAGTAGAATGTTCTTATCTGATTGCACCTGTATTGATTGTGTTAAAGAGGTCTATCCTCAGATCAAGGTCAATGATTTTACATAAACTGACTAGCTAGATGGAATCGCTAGCGGTATTTAGAACTCCCATAGTTTGTCCACCCTTTCAGCATATGATACTTCACCATAAAACTTGGAGAGAGAAATCCAATATTCATTCCATATTCTCTGTCTTCTAGCAACATATTACTTTAGTTAAAGTATAAAGTTATTTCCAAAAATACCATTCGTGTTACTAAACTCTCTAGTAGTGGTTCTTACCAGCTAGAAAAGAAATTTCACATCACATTTTTAAACAGCAATGTTTCACAGACTTAAAGAAACATTGCACACTTTGAAACACTGGACTTTATATAACCATCCTTCTTAACTTGATTAAATTGGAACGTTAATCTGATTCATTGTTCCATTAGCTTCAGTAGAGCTGATCCAGCTTTCTACTGTGGTATTAAAATCTGGATGGTTTCTGAGTGATATATTCAAAGATTTCTTCAGTAGCTATACACACATATATTTAAAGCTTTGTACATACATGTGTATATATAGACATATACATGTGTTTGCATAAAGCTTCATACATTTTTAGTCTTTTGGCTATTTCTGCTTGAGCCCTTGTTCCCAGATCTCAGGAGCCCAGGAAGTAAAAGCTGCCAAACGATCCCCAGCTTTGATAAGGGGTAGATAACAAGCCCTTCAGAGCTTAATGAGAGAGGGAGCTACCACAACACGTTAAAGCAGGCTGCTGAGGCTGGCACCAGCCGGTGTGTGTAGATGTAGGTTGGGGGATAGATCCAGCCTCACCATCAGCTGTGTGGAGAGATCAGCCTCTCACTTTCAGAGCAGTCTGGGAATGGACCCGGCAGGATGGCCTCCTCCTTATCACTTGCTCCTGACCCCACAGAGGATGAAGCAGAGGAAGAGGTTCAACAGGCTGGTTACTGCTGATGGAGATACAGAGCACAACAGAGCAGATACTGAAGCTGAGGGTAAAAGCCTTTGCCATGAGCCCAGTGAGCCTGCACTGTGGCTGAGAAT